CCCCGAGGCAAGGTCACCCCATACGCAGCCCCCGGCGGCTGCTCTCTGCCTCCCGCCGAACGCACTCGCGCGTTTGTGGGTCTCCAAGTTATGAAACCCTGCAGATGGACTCTGCATTACGCACCCCCCATCAATGTCAATCAAAGTTAAAAAAAACAAAATAAACCCAACAACAGCCAGCCAGTTCACAAAGCACACATTTCTGTTCAGAAACAGCACAATATTTTTTTAACATCTTTATATATTTATATAATTTTTTCTGCATTGCAGATTATGTTGAGTTTTATACATCTCTATTTACAATGGTTTAAAATAATTATAATTCAACTCTGGCAGGTATTTACAAAGTCAATATTAACTACATTTCACATTTCAACAACAGTCAACAGCATTAACCAGCTCAGTAAGACAGTTAAGGTAATGGCTTACATGCACCAATAACATGATCTTCAATGCGTGCCACCTTCACGTCCAAGAGTGAAGATTTTCCCTGGTCCCAGCTCAAAGGACATCACACAGCAGAGGTCGCAGCTACTAAAAACCCATCTGGTTTAGTCCTTCACCAGTACCGAAACTCAAAGGTCTGGGGCTCGTACCAGCACGCAGGGCTATCCCGGTGAAGAGGGGCTCACGCCACCAACCCACGTCCTTTTGCCTAGCCTGTTTGTCCACAGCAAGTGGGCTACTTGCTGCTTATGCTCCTTCTATGACAGAGGTATTACATAATGCTAAAGTAGTAAAAATCCTCAGAAACCTTAGTTCAGAGAAACAAACCCAGTATGACAGGAAAAAGTAAGAATAATCTTTCAACCCCTGCAGAATGTTTCTTTATGCTAGCAAAATTGACAGCATATCCTCTATTCTTACAAGGATGAAGAGATCAAAAGATTAATTGTAAAGTACAGGAATTACAAATTTTAAAAATGCAGCATGGGGGGTACCTCTATTTAGTTGCTGGGTTTTTTTTTTAATAGCATAGCATAGTAAATCTAAAATGTATTAAGAGTATCTGATTTAATTATTAAAATTTTTATTAGCTTTTTCCTGGAATCTTTGATATGGAAAAAAGGTTAAGTGACTCAATTTTATTTCATCATATGGTATTTTTCCATAAATAACCAGCTAGTAATATCCATGCCAAGAGTATCCACTGTCTGCAAGAAAACTGAAGTCTTGTTTTAAAGTAATCATTGAACACTGGCACACACAAACACTCAGACACACCCCAGTACTAGGAATCTATTAATACTTTGACAGGTTGGTTTATCCTGAGTGATTGGTAACTCACATCTACTGTATACTTGAAACCACAAAGTTTTCACTACCTGCATTTTTCATAAACTAATAACATGAAAGGTTAGCACAACAATAACTGCCTGAACGGAAAGAACAGTGTCAGTAGCCAGTATTTCTGTCACTCCCAAGTCCTTCGTATTTTAGAACAAAAGGTAAAAGGTTGCTTCATTCAGACTATTTTTTCTGTTTTGTGATCAGTTCTGGGGAGGATGAGGACTCAAACACATCGGATCCACTACCGATTTGTAAAGAAGTTTCCATGAGAAAGCACCATACAGTCACTTTACTAGCAGATAACTCCTGAACAGAAATCTCCCCCAACCCTTCCACCCTCTAAAACCAAAAACCTGGGTGAATTCTATACCATATTTTAACGAGTGATTAACCATCTCTTCAAGAGTCAAAATTTTAATTGCTTTGATGAGTTCTATCAGAACACAAAGATATTCCACCCTAAATTGCTTACATCTCACTGACTGTAAAACACTGGGAGCTCACAACCAAATAATTGGATAATAAAACTTGATCTCATCACTTTGCTCATCATGCACAAGCTAAAATGTAGGGTTTACTGTACAAGACACAAAGTTTTACTATACATCTGTTCCCATCAACAGCTCCTCAAAGGAATAACCTAGTAATCCTTTATGATAGGAGGGATAATTTATGGACCCATTTTAAATTCATTTGGTCCCTCAGAAAATACCTTTGGTAAAATCTGATGAATACAGAAAAAAAAACCCCAAACAACAGTCAACAGAGGGGGGTAGCCTAGAGAAAAATAAAAGAATGAAGCAAAAATTGTAATTTTTTTCATTAAATCTTGAATACAGACAAATAGCATGGCACAGATTTTTACGCAATCAATTTTGGAAGCTGTAAGGTACTCATAGACTTCTACAGCTTGCTTCTGAACTTCTAATGTCACAGACCATGACACTTGACAAACTTACTATGCAAGTTTATCTGAAATAGCTGTTATGTTTTAAAATCTTGTTCCAATATTTGTTTTATTTTAAATAAAATTTCATAACGACTATGTAGAAATCCTCATGTACATATCAGTCTTGCAAAATCCACTTACTGCTTGTTGCCAGGATCTACTGGCAAACCAAGCTGCTCACAGCTCTCCATCGTCTTCCACCACCATGTAAGAGGCAGGTAAGTATTTTAGCTCTTCAGCTAGTCATGACATGCAAATTTTGACAGACTGATACATGTGTTCACTAGCACAACACCCATGTCATGATCTGTTACCCTGAATCACCTAAAGAAAAGCCTTCCACAGCAAAGTTTATCCGAGTGCCAGTGGGAAAACAAACTAAAAAATAGCCAAGAGACATTAAGGCCCATATGCTAAATAGCATTTAAAATACTGAAGAAAATTTAAAATATTCAACAATTTGATATAAACCAAGAATGCAACGTAAGTACGGAGGATCTGGCTTCTTTGCTTTCCGTGTTTGGAAAAGAGTGGTATTTTGCAACATTAGTCCTGCAATTATCCTAAACAAGCCATTTAAATAAATAAAAAAAAAGAGGGCACGTTTACTGTTCTGACGCAGACCATTCCTATGATGTAAATGGTTGTACCTAGCTAATTGCTTTAATGATATATTAAACATGCCAAGTTAGCAATGAGAGAATTGCAGAATTTAAGCATGAGATTATTAGATTGATTAACATCAGAAACATCTTTTTGTTTTGTGTGCAGTACATATGTTTCATTCAAACATGTTCCATTATATTTTCCACACCTCCTCCAGGATTATGAGTACAGTACCTTGTCCGTAATGCTTGATTTTTATCATTTTACTCAAAAAGTTACTCAAAAGGTTCTCAGTCTTCAAATTAATTTAAATTTGTAAGCCAAGATAAACAAAAAATTGTGGCTTTTTAAAGAAGTTAAAACGCTGAACACTTAGATAGCCATTGGTTCATGATAAAATTGAACAAGTTAAACTCTTAGGTTAAAATACAGCCATAGCATAGAATTATATATTCCAAAATTATTTTGTCAAACATAATTCTCTGAACATGTTATACATCAACTAGAGAAAAATTTCCCTGGAGCTAAAATTTTCCAAGAACACTAATAATTTCACTAAAGAAGTAAAACAAATCACATAGTATCTAGAGACAAAAAGGGGTTAGAGTTGAGGTCACCTTACGACAGAGTAGCTTTACCACCATTAAGATGCAGGTTTCCCCCTTACTCTTGAAAAATATGTTCATATTTACATAGAGTATACTCACAGTTGAGGCAATTGATTGTCAACATGTGACAAATGTATGCACCTACCCACACACAAGTAAACCTCACATTGTGAGAAAAAACCCTGTCCCAGTAAACTCCAGCATTCATAAGTAGTGCAAATAAATACTTTGTCAGAAAACAATTTTTTTCTCACTATTTTGATGTTAAAACATATAATTTTAATTATGTCAAAGCTAGCAGGACTATGTTGGAAATGTACTTAAGACTAACACACTTGCGAACTACAAATACTAGATCTAATGCTTACTGGATGCAACATGACGTTCAGCATTACAGAATGAAGTATGATGTTTATAGAACTTTCCCAAATCCACATCAGAAAGGGTGTTCAAAGAAATCTGCATTTAAAATGGACAGTGTCCAAATGAAAACTAAAAGGATAATACAGAAATTCAAACTGTCATCTTGCAACATTCATTTTAATAGGTATTTTTACTTCATCACTTTGCTGCTTGCACGATGAAAAAATGGGTCATCATTCGGCTAAAAAGCTGCTCACAATAAACCCCTGAAAAGGATAATCAAGCTGGAGTTAGCAATCCAAACGTTTTATATTTCCTTAAAATTATAAAGCACAACAAAAAAGAGTTGCAAAATGGCAACATATTGCAATGTGGTAAAAATCGTATCATGGAATAATTCATTTATCCCTACTTATAAGTATATACACATTAAAATATAGTACCCACACTACCTCACCTAAGAATTACACGTACGTGCATGCATGTACACATACACAGGAAAAAAAAATCCTAGTGTTCTGCTTTTGACCTTCTTTTATAATGCTGCAGTTGCACTGAAATACTGCAGAAATCTAAATCTAGTGCCTCATGTCAAGTACCAAATGTTCTAAAACAAGACACAGCAGAGTGAATTTAAGTCTAAATATGTCACAGGTGTCAGAAAATTTAAGTATGTTTTGTAGTTTGTTTAGCACATATAATTAGAAAGACTATTCCCTCAACCCATATCCCAGACACTTCCAATTTTACTTCTGCCACATACTTTTAAGCATACTGAACATCAGTGTATAAAGCTTCGCTACAATCTTAATGCACCTTGGCATAGTTTGAGACACATCTAGTAGCATCAATGGTAAACATGACACACAGCACTGGCAAAGCATGTTATTACAGCTGATTTGTAGATATTAGTGATGACTCATTTTGTAAGATAAGATGTTGAACAGTACTTGTCATAAACAACAAAACAAGCTTCCACAACTGAAACATTGCACCAAAAGAGTAATTTTGAGAAGTTATAGATGTACCACATCAGCACATAGCAAAGATTTTTTTTTTTCCAGGGATAAATTCGAACTCTTTAAAAAGCCTTATATGGGGTAGTTATAAATACACTAGAACAAACGAAAATACAATGGATGAAACAATAAGAAAAGGCACATCATCAAAATCAGAACTGTAAAAATATCTTAAAAGGCAGTTTGACTAAAGTTTTAACCAATTTGAATTTATGCATGTACTTTTGACTTCCCTACCTGAAGTCGCTGAGCTGTCTCACTTTCCTGAAATAGTTTAACAGTGTGGGACCCCACACATAAGAATATTTAAAAAAAAAAAAGTGCGTCCTAAAACTTCTGGAGGAATGCTTATAATGGCAAACGTAGAACGTAAAGAACCTTGCTAATGAACAACTTTACTTTTTAGAATACTAGAATAAAGTAATTCTTCAAAAACTAGCTAACACCCCTGACCTTTTCTTTCCCCAAAATTTAAGCAAATTATTTGGTCCTTTTCAATTTTCAGTGATGGCTCTTCAACAGAATTTCCTTTGTGATGGTCTCTACAAAACAAACTTTGGACTTTCAGGACACAAGCTAGCAAGCAATATTCTGGACAGCTATGACTTACCAATTGTCTCCACTCACATAACCGCATAAAATAAATTAAAGAGTTTAACCATACACAACTTCTGACATTTTTACAGAAAATGCCTCATAGCTTAATCTCAACTTTGCCTTAGTTCCATCTGTGTGTGACTGGTGGTCCTTTAAGATTAACTTCAATTTAGAAGCTGCAAGGTTTTCTTTCTGATGATGATTCTATTCACTCTTTAACTGAATTTCTGCATCAGACCAGATGTAATTTAATTCACTTTACGAATGTAAGATATGAGGACTAGACTACCAAAGTGACTTGTCAAACCACAAAAACCTTCAAATATTTTAATGAATTTTAATGTAAATTTGAAAAAAGTTCTATTTAAAATAGAGATTAAAAAGCAAAAACAAACCCAAAAAACCAAAACCAACTACCAGCAATGCAACACCATGTCATTGTCCTGAATTTCTCAAAGACTATCATTCAAAGATAGCCTTCTATTTAGAACTGCTTGTGTTTATTCTTCACAGTGACAGCGAAACCAAAGTGCCCACATAAAGACAGTAACTCGTTCCTGTGGATTTACAATTTGTAAACTTCCAGGATATCATACATGATGTAAGCATAGAGGATGAACTTTCCCCTTTTCTCTCTAGCAATCCAAAAAGAGATGGAGAGAGATGGGGAGAGAATGACAAACATTCTCCTCTGTAACCAGAAGTGTGCTTCTAAGTAGTGTTCTCCAGCATAAGTACCAGCCAGTGCCCATACACCAGTCATATATACATTCAAGGCTTGGCTCAATGGCACGAGTTCTGAATTTTCTAGAGTAGGGGACAAGTCACTAAAATAACAGTTAAAAAAACTCAATGGATTATAAATATCAAGGCAATGAAGTGTGAGCCTTCTGGGAAAAAAAGACTGTCAATACCCCTTTGTGCAAATGGTGTTTCTAGAAAAGCATTTCACATTGAAGCTTCAGTGTTTCTAGAAAACTACTGTCTCTATCCCCGAGACAGCCCCTTAAGAGCATGGTCTGTCTGGACTGCAGAATTCTTCAAATTACTCCATGATTGAATTCAGTGACACTGAGAAAGCAGCTGAGAGGGGCAGCGGTTTCCAACAGCCATGATACCATAGAAAGGAGCCTGAGAAATACTCTTTACCTGAATACGCTTTTCAATTCAGTGATCGCCACCTCACAAGAACAACAACAAAAAAAAATGGAGCAAAGCTAGCCATTATTTCCTGGCAAAGTAGTGTCTCCCTCCCACTTACAAACCAAATTGCTTTAACAGCATGGCATTGTCTAAGTTTTAGTTTATGCAGAATAACCCTGTGTCCTGGAGGGGAAGACATAACATTACATACGGCTACACCACCATTAGAAGTGCATTGTAACCTATCTTATCTACTTACAATCCTCTCTCTGAGGGAAAACAACTTGTTAATATGCATGTCTCAGTTGCTGAACATCAAAAGCTTCTTGGATGAGAGACTGGGGGCAGGCAAGAAAAAACTACCCTCATTTTAATGAAAAAAGTGCTGTAGGCAGCCAGGAGCAGCAATGACAATCCCCTCCCCAGAATTGATTGCACAGACTCAGAGAGGTCCAAAGTCACACTAGAATCTCTGAGGCGCTCCTGGTTCTGAGAAAGAAAAGTCATGATCCAGTAGTCTTTGCAGTACTGTACACCAAGAAACCAAACCCGTTTCTATTTCTTAACAAAGCCAAAACATCATCTCATAGGGATCACATTCACCATTTCCACCGGTGTCTCCAGTCTCACAGTGTTGAAATGGGACTGATCAGCCTACGATGGATTGCACATCACCCAAGGAGAAAGGAAGGAGAAGGCATGGAAAAAGGCATACAGTACATTATATACGGCTTTCACAACCATGTTTACAAGGGGGGCTGGGGGGGAGGATGAGATGAGGGAAGAATTATTGCTGTTTCAGTAATACAATATGATAGCTAAACCAAATCAAACAAGATCACAACAGTCAGTATTCTCACACTGCAGGATGATGGTTCATGTTTTGCCCAAGGATGAACTTGCCTGGCGATTAAGGGGAAAGAGGAAGTCCTAAGGAAGGGAGTAAAAGTTACACCTGGGATATCAGCTGCATATTGAAACTTGGAGATCGAGACTGCTTGGTTAGGGGAGCTCCTGGGGGAAGGAGATCTTTACTTTCCCCAGCTTGGCCTAGTCGGTCCTCCTGTAGGCTGATAGTTGAAAACCGATTGGTGTTGCCAGCTGTTAGATTGGTAACACCCTCTGTACCAGCTCCAGCACTGGAGCCTGCTTGACTGCCATTCACATAGTCAAATGATTTACTGGAGGAAGCACTGGCTGTCCTGATCAGGCTCAGACTGTTGGTTTTTGGCACCACCTGCCCAGCAGCCAGGGTGAGGTGTTTCTTAGTAGGTGTCATCTCAATTATATCTGCACCAAGGTCAGTGGATTGGTGCGTGTACTGCTTCCGAGCTACTGAATCTCGAGGGCTCTCACTGGATTTTGCTGCAGAAGAGGTTTCTTTATCCTTAGCAGAACGCCCACTTGCTGTTTTCCTTAAGCTGCCCTTCTGGGATATAGATGATAGAGGTTTGGTCCCAACTGGCTGGCTGCTGAGGGAAGCTCCTGATGAAAATCCTTCATCAGCATCATTAAGGTTCACCGATTCCTCTCTTCCATTTACACCTTCAGCATCTATTAAGAAAAAAGAAATAACAAAAAAAAAAATCCCAAACCAATCAGAACACACAGTAAGCATTCAAGTTACATGAAGACAAAGATGAGCACAGAATGTCAAAACAAACCTCATTTGCTAAATCAACCTGGTTTCCACCTGTTCAAAAATTTCTGATTCTCAGCCAATAATCTTCCTGTTATATTTAGCAGAACAAGTGAGTCTAACAACAAGTACTCCATGAGCTTGATTTGCCTTACCTCTACATCACTTTTATTAGTCAGAAATATCTCCCAAATATTGTCTATAAACAGGGAGAATTAAGCCCCATTTGGTTAATTTGTTTTAGTTCTGTCTGCAGATACTGGTGCCCATTCGCCTCCTACAGGTGGTTAAAAAAAAAAGCGCCCTTCAGACTATTTTTATCCTATTTTGAAGCAAGATCTAACCATGTTCAGGAGCTCTTCCATTCAGAGTAAGTTCTGGCGAGTGCTCAGCAAGCTTCAGAATTAGGTTACTTCCTATGCCAGCAATCACAATGCTCCAACAGAGGTACAAAGCTTCTCTTGTGTGTAGCTGGCACTTCAAACAATGTGACTATAATTTCTGTTGGAGATTAACCTAATTCCTAGTTCTCTCTCCTCCAGAGCTCAATCCTCCCCGCATTTCCAGCAATCCTATCTAGGTGCTTCCACCATATTTGCTTTTATCTCAGCATCTAGATTTTTCAGAGAACACCACCTGTATTAAATGTTTCAGAAGTTAAATTTCTCTTAATGTTGTGGAAGTACTTTTGACCGGAATCTTAAAGAGAAAAAAAACCCTGACAAACTTCTTTCTTAAGCACTTGTTTTCAGGCCCATAATATGATTAGGGCTGCACACAAAGAATTCTTTTTTTATTTAAAGAAAAAAAAAAAAAAAAACAGGAACCTGATCAGCATTCAAACTTCAAAACTGAAAATGGAACTTGTGTTTTTGCTTCATAGATCTCATTTCAGTGGAAAAAAGCCAATAAGTTTAACCACGTTAGCAAAGGTAGACATTCAGTCTACAAGAATTTCACTTTTCTTCATAAAAGCTATGGAGCCTGGTTACTTGCGAGAAGTCTGCAAAGCCTATGGATCTGTCCCAGCTAAAGCCACTGTACTGCTCTACTGGCAGTTTGTTCAACCCACCTTGCCGCTAAGGAAACATGTTTAAATCTCTTTTGTGGAATGGCGGAAAAGTGGTGGCGAGGATCTAAGGGATTCTAACATTTAAGTGGAAGCCCATCCTTTCATGCTGATTGCTAGCAGAGCACTAAGGAACATTTCATGTTATGGCAAGCAGAACAGTCACAAAGCTTTCAGTGTTGTTGCTGCCTCTGTGAAGCAGGAATATAGCCTGATACAACTTCACATTTCTGGAGTGTAAAGCAAAAAGAAAAGTTTACAGAGAGGTTTTATTATTCTCTTTTAAACTTACTACTTCTTTTCAGGAAACTTTGCCTTGGAATTACTATTACTGTGTATTAGCTTACAAAAGACATTTAGCCATCTCCAAATGATACCACCCTCAGGCCTCTCAGAACAATGCGACGTGATATCATTCTGTATTATATAGTTCTGTTTGACTCATAAGCCTCCCAGAAGAAGAAAGGTAATATAGTTCATGTACTGCAGTCTTCCTTCCTTGGTAAAGCCTTTAGTCTTAGAAAAAGAAGCTTCTTAGGTTTCAAGGGCTATCATTACACTCAAGGGTGCGTTACTTGCTTTAACTTCCTGCAACCGTATTTAAAATACATACACTTTCCCCACCTCCTGCCCAACCTATTTGGTCAGACTAGGCCTTCACCTTCTCACTGAGACATAAGTGTCTTTTCTTACATTAGACAATGATATATTTTGTTTACAATCCACCACTTCTCCACCCCCACACCTTTCCACACATAATCAAGGATGCTAATAAAAATATGACAAAACTGGAACATACTGAAAGCAAGAGCACTTTTTCAGTAAACCAATATTTATATTTCTTTATATAATCATGCAAAGCTGGATGAACGCATGTTTAGTCACAAGCAGCAACAGCAGCAGCTGAAGTCCCCTCTGAAGCCCTTCTTACTCAAATGAAAAATGTGTCACTTGCAAGAAGGTACCTCCAGAAAATACTACTAAATTTTTCATTATTATAAGAACATTAGTCTTCTTCAAAGTTTACGTTAAAACATTGCTGAGTAACAGGATGCTAAAACAGGCATTCCTATTCAGGGACAGTGAAGCAGAAGAGTCACACTGAAAAAGCGGCATTTTATCCACAGAATTTGAAGTCAAGACTGAGAGGGGTTGTTGCAGGGTTTTGGATATTGCAACTATACAGAGACCCAAGCAGCTCAGCAGTACTCAAAAAACGAAGAAGATAGAGAAGACAACATGCAAGAGAATTTCTGTCTAGTCAGATCCATGTACCTATTAAAGTTCTCAGTGGGACTGAAGTAATTCAGAAAACACATATTCTTTTCCCAATACATGTTATTTTTCCTCTAAAAACTGTCCTCAAACAATCAAAAATGTTTGAATCCTTACATACTCCATTTGGGGGGAAAAACAGGATGAAGTTTTCTTTTTTCTTCCCCCAATAGACCAATAAGACAATTAAAAAAGAAAACAAAAACTAAAAACCTACTTGTCCCAAGCACTCTTCTACTGTTAGGCCAGAAGAGAAACAGACAGTGCAACTTGACAATTGTACTACAGTGTGTATTCAGGACTCTCACTGTTCCTTATCAGAACAAGTCTGTACCCAAAGAATGTGTTATTTATGCCTGTACATAATTAATTCTGTAGATGTAGCTACAGCATTCTCCACTGACCCAAAATAGCACACATTACCACAGCTGCTATCACCTAGAACAGAAATACCTTGTAAGGCATTACTAAATCATTGTTGAAATCTTTTGCCTTTTTCTACTTATTGGGTCAAAACACTGATCTGAAGAAGGGGTTTTATACAACTGTTTCAAGTGACTTTTATTTTGTTGATCCTTCCCATACATGAAGGTTGAAAAGTCACTAGAAATGATCTGTCTTTCACTATATTGTTTGATATCAAAATCATATTTATAAGCGGGAATTTGCTAGCTGAAACTTTCTGCGAAATCAACATCAGTAAAATAATAGACCACCATATATACACATACAATCCTATACTGATAAATCAAGCCAAACTCCATTCCTTGGCCTTCTCCCAGATGCTATCAACTGGCAGAATTCAGTTTGCCCAAGCATACAATTATACATTGCTAATGTTACAGAACTAAAGGGTATTCGACTTCTGTTGAATTAAAGCATGGGGAATAATGCCTTATCCAAGATCATGCCCAATTATATAGATGTCTTAAAATAAATTAAGACTAAAAGGTCACATCTTTATCAACAACTTTCCTGCTTCCTGTGTCTCCCAGAAGGTTCTCTGCAGCTGAGGACTTCTCCATATCCTTCATGTCATGCACATGCAAAGTTTAGTAAGGAGTAAGACCAACTGAACAAGTGAATTCAGGAGAAGACAGGACTCACTTACTGAGCATGCTCAAATTCATTATGCACCAAGGAGCAGATTATAAACCCGCACTAAACATTTTTATACAACAATCTTCTACAGAAGCATGATGTCTTAATTATTGTTTGACAGCAACTCTGATTAAGAGTAAAGATTCTGTGATAACACTACAATAAATCTCTAAATTCTCCAGATCATTGCTTCCAGAAGAACAAATCTGAAATATATGTATCTTATACCCAAATGTGCAAATATATCTCATTTATGATCAACTGATATGCTTATAGAGGCTGGAAACATCAAAGGAATGTTCAGACAGAAAAGAAGACTTAAGATAGGAGAACACTTGAAAATTATTATTTAAATTTACAAGAAATTAATTCTTATCTCTGAGAAGAAATTGTCATTCAAATTCAGTACTCAAAACCACATCTTTTATGGAGTAAAGATGAGAAAATTAGATGAACTTAAGCAAAATACATTTCTGCCAGCCATTCTATCTGCTATTCTTGGCTGCAGAGCAGACATACAAAATCCTACAGCTCTGTGTGGACAGCATGACTGAAAGAAAGCAATAATTATTTCCAAAGATTTTAGGAACATGACAACCTGAGTTCTTCTTGAAAACGTAAGTGCTTTTTTGGTACTTGTCTTCAAAGCAGTCAGCTCATTCATGTAAATGTCAGCAGTTGATTATCTGTCTTAGACAGGCTTGACTTTTAATGGGAACAGCAAACTTTGTTCTCAGAAATTTAAAATCTGCAGACTAACAAGACCTACGGTAACCAAGTTGTAGCCAAATCCATTTATATTCTATACTTTCAGCACTAGATTCATGTTAATCTGGTGCATTTTTTCCTTCTGAGTATTTGATTAAACATGCTCAGTAATAGAAGGTTTCCAAGCAATCCCAAAGCTCTTGGCTATTACCCATCTTTTTTTTTTTGCCATGCCAAGCAGTCTTTCGCCACACAGATGCAAGCCCCAGGCCAGCCCACATGATAACAAAAGGTAGTACCTGACCTGATGTTAGGTATATAGGGGATGCGTGTATTGCAAAGAGAAGCTAATACACCCTGGGATAGCGGAAACACACACTAGAAGGGAAAGAAGTTCTGCTTGGGGATAGGGAGCCAGGATCCTCCTCCAGCAACTGCCTCACTGACTTCTGCCTCCTCATCTCTGTCCTACCCTCTGTTGTGGCTGCTGCCAAGGTGGGCTCCAGGAAGCCATGCTCAGGGGTCCTGCGCATCAGCACCTCCCCCTCTTGCTCACGTTTGATCCCTAGGTCTGTGGAGCCGTGTTGGATCGGTGAGCCAGGTATGCTTGAGTCAGCCTCGTTTGAGAAGTCAAAGCCATCTGGGATTCAACACATAACATTTTAGTGCTTTTCTGTTCCTTTCTTGGCATTCCAACCCAGGCAGGGAAAACAGAAGAATTTTGCAGACATGGAACAAACACAAAACATTACCCATGCTTAGTTAAAAGTTGTGAGAACATCCACAGAAAGGGACAGGTGGGCTACACTGTAGACCAGAGACTAACAAATAAATATAATGGCAACTACAGTGAAGACAAACATGACCCAGAGTCCTGAAAACAGAAGACAGCTACTTCTTGTCTCGGACATCCTGATTCAGCTGAAGACCAGAGGTCATCACATCCTTTTGCACATGATACGAAAAAAAAAAAGTATCACAGGAAAAAATGTAATCATTGTTTTCAGATTCTTTTACCCTCAGTTTATTTTCAGGTTATTCTACTTTTTACCTTCAGCCATTTATATAGCATTTTTTAATCAATGTTTTATACATGCAGCAACAAAGCTTTTTAAGTAGTATGACAAAGTGATTTCAAAGCAAGCTTTTTGCTACACCTTTGTTGAAGATGTTATCATATCAAGGTAAATATTACTACATATTTATATTTCTTCTTCACACAGTCAAACATACTTCCATAAGACATTAAGTACTCACTGAGAAAAAAAATGACTAATTCTAAGCTATCCAAAGCTATTTTATGACATGCCACCTCTCTAAATTGGGCCATACGATGGTAGGAGTGTGATGTTCAGCTTTTCCCTCTCCCACTGTCTTCAGTAGGCTTAGGTAGATGGAACCCTATCAATGTCTGGATAATACCATTCACTCCCTGAGCTATTTATGATGGGAGGCAGTTGATGTTTAGTGTGGATTAAAGAAAGAATTCAAATTCTAAGCCAAACTCTACCCCTACAATTTTATGCTGTGTAACATGGAGGAAAAAAAAGAAGTTTTACCGAACATATTCCAGCTTCTCCATTTTCTCACATACCTCATGGGTTATCACCAAATCAAAAACAAAACAAACACCCAAAATGTTAACGTTCACGCAGTGCTCTGAAGATGTAAAATACTATACACTGTTACAGAATATCACTTTCCAAAAACAAACAAACAAAAAAAACCCCAACCAACTGTTCTGAAAACATTCAAACTCAGAAGCCAGATTACAGTGATGATGATGAATACAGTACACTACAGTATTTGCTTTTGGTAGAGAAAGCTCACCTTCTCTCCTCCAGCGATGACGACGAATAGAAGCTGTTGTAATAGCAGTTCGAGAAATCCTTGGCACTGTCGGAGTAACTTCTACTTTCAGTACTTTCTGGCCTTCTTGAGATGCATCAGGAGCATCAAAGGGCAGTGAGTTCTTCATGGCATTTGCAACCTAAGATAAAAGTAAAATGCTGTAGTACTGCTGTCCTTGATTGCACTAATGGCAATATTGGATCTCTTGCTGGATATGGAAAGGGAACAACCAAGAATTGTTAATTATGCCAGATCCCATCCAGATGGATTGCCCCATCCCCAAGATTTACAGTTGACAACTACATTGAAAAGCTTATCACAAACCTATTCTCAAAAGTATAGCTGAATTTTCTCCATTTTTTGAGGTAATTTATTTCATTCCATGTTTGCCACCTGTACTGACAGAGCTAACAACCTACACAGGAAGATCTCCATCTAAAAGAGACCACAAAACAACGAAAATACCATTTATGATTTATAACAAGAACATCATAAAACCAAGTCACAGGCCAAGCCAATGCAAACAGCATATGGCCTTATGCATAGGGGAGACAGGGTCAGTTTCCACCCACTCCCCCAATAACTACAACCAGCCCACCCCTACTCCCCACCTCAAAAAAAAGCCCAAGCACAGGGATTAGACTGCAGGTACTTGCAAGATTTAAAAAAAACCTGCAACCTAAGCAAAAGTATCAAATCATTAAAATGCATTCATCTTATTAGATCTAATTTTTTGTCGTAATAGCCTATTATAAAGTCAGAAGTTCTGTTTTGCAGCTTTGCGGATAACAAGTCACCTCTTTCGGCTTTGATGTTTTAACTGCTTCTTCATATTCCCATAAAATGCCTTTGTGGGATTAGAGCTTTACTTTTAAGGGGGGGAAGCAACTTCCAGTTAATGTTTCATAGTTTACAAGTAGATTGTTCGAAAAGTGAACTGGTGTACTGTCTCTTGAAAAGCAAGCTGGGTCACTACTGCATCTGCAGTATTCAATAGTAACAAAGTTGCTGCACACAGAGTGTGATTTAGAACTTTTTTAAAAGTATCATTCAAAGTGAACACACCTTGATTTTCCAAAATCTTATTGAATTTGTACAATCAACCAGATATAGAAATATTGGACACATTTTAAACTTAACATCACAACTTCATTCATAGATCTCATGTTTCACAGACATCTGACTTCCTACATGCTCTTTACTGCCCCCCTCCAATAAAGATAGTAGATAAGAGGGTCAGAGACATCTAGACTTCAAATAAAAATAACATGGAAAATGTAACTAGCTAATCTCTATAAAACCCGACCTAACAACAGTTCACACCATAATTTGGGCAGGCTATTCTTTTCATTAGTTTACAAGAAGCATTATGAAAAGCAACTTTATTATGCCTCCTAATGGATTTTCTCTTGTATCACAAAAAAAGTTTGATCTCTCAAGCTGCAAAATCAGAGTTCACTATAAGACACGAAAAACAAATTTCTTTAAATGCATGTGGTCTGCATGTCCTAACTCCATGTAGTCTATTTGTTAGCTCAAGGCAAAGGCATGTTTTAAGATACAGATGAACTATATGGTTGACCGTTCTGTTCACTCAAATGAAATACAGACCTGCTTTAGAATATGCATCTTTGCAGGATACTCCACTTTTCTGACCATGCATACATACATTTTTCTTCCTTTTAGTCCATGTTCTTCTCCTAAGAACAGGCATTTTGGTTTTTTTATAAAGACTTGTGGCTAGCTGATGGGAGCAGTATCAACTGTAGCACATTACTACGACCAAGCATTTCCTAGTGTTATGCTGTAAGCAATATTTTCATCTTCCCTTGAACCTAGTGACAGAATTAATGCACTTTCAAACCTCATCAACAGTGGCTTGATATTCTGAGGTTGTCAGCGGCCTTGGAAACGTAAGGGACATCCAACAAATTCTTTGAACTCCCAAAGCCCACATATACCAAATCTGCTCTAATTAAGTCATCTTTCATTAGCATTCAGAAAAACACAAACTAGGATAAATCTATTAAACCACTGGAAAAGACCCTATTGGCAGAACTTGGTATGATTTGTCCTGTGAAGGTCTAGGATAACATTTGATAAAAAGAATATAACAATGCATATGGTATGCCACAAAAGCTCCATGAATTAAAGGTGTATATTTGCATCATAATAAAGTACAAGTGACTTTCCCACAAGTTTCAACAAGCAAACCATCCAGCAATCATGAGAAGAAATGAAACTGGTTCAAACAGTAAAGCCACAGGTTGCAGGATATTAACTAATCAAAGATTTCTCACTTCCTGGGGGCCTGGAATGGCTGCCATGTAGCTGATCCTGATCTCCAGCTGCTGTTGTCATCCTGTAACTCCCCATTAAACATCTTCTCCACTGACTTCCCATCTGACTTCTAACCAGCGCAAAGATTACTGGCACCATCAAAATGCTCCTTATCGTTCTGCCTTCCACTTGTCCAACTTTGATTTGCCCTTTGCTAGCCAATTGTCTCAGCCTGAACACTTGCTTGTGAAGTGCTCTCCTATACACACATAGGCCTTTTTCCATGCCATCCTCTCAAAATGGTACAAACTGCATCCACCTTGCGGTTTGCTTTCCCATCTTCTACTCATTAGCGTTGCGCCCGCTTTTGAACAGGTACCCTTCTCAGTCTACAGGATTAAAATCTAAAAATTAGTAGCAGAAAGCTTCTGCAACAGGACCAGAAAAGGGACAGAGCATGTCTGTTTGTTCAACCTTTTAACAGCTGGCCCTTTCTAACAGCATAAATTGTACTTCTGGGGACTGAGGAGAAACAGAACTGAGGAAGATAAAAATCAATGCAACAGTAAAACTTTTAGACAATCTGAAAAACCAGTTCGAATGAGTCACAGCCCTTCTCTGACAAAAAAAACAAAAACTGCAATCCTTCGGGATGCAAAAAAACTTGCTCACTGTATCTAATCCACCTCTGAAAGACAGGAAGACAAATGAACAGCACATTTCAGACTTGACAAGCCAAGTCTGCAATTACTGATGACAAAGCAGGGCTGGTTTCAGGCCAGACATCCACTCTTGCCTACCAGAAAGGAGCTCTAAGGAAAAGAGCATCCAACAAAAGCAGTAAATACATCAGTAAAAACACACTTGATAGAGGTGTTGTCACAATAGGGACTTGCTGATCCGTGCTTCTTGTGTACCAGGCTAAGAAACCTTGTGTGTCTCTTCACTGAAGACAGGGATTTCCATCTGAAACAAGCGCAGAACTCTTGTGTTCAGAGGAGGAGAATGATTGACTGTAACTGAGTTACTCCCCAGGTCCAGGCTTGCTGGCAAGTAATACTGAGTCTTGGTGATTAGATTCCCCTCTGTAGAAACTCCTGCTTTTCATGACTACGAAACCAATACTCAGTGTTTGTTAACGGAGACACTTCTTTTTTCCCAGAAAAAGCCTCTCCCTTGCATTATTTCCTGCCCTTTCCAGTGCAGTCTCTAGGTAACAATGAAAGAAGACCAAGTCTACATTACAGCTATTTCACAGCTCTCTGATGCTGCTATTTCAGCCTTTTTTTTATTTTATTTTAAGTCTGCAGGCAATATAAGCCTATTCAAATAAGAGCACGGATCTATTATATTGTCAAAAAAATTTCTCCAAGAGACATACCCAAACATAGGGACCGTGATTTTTCTCATTGTAATGATGACTGATGGTATTCCCATAATTATACAAATAGCTTGAGTACAGCTATCTAAAAATAATCCTAATGTGAGGGTTTGCCTGCACATTAAACGGACTTCAAAGAATTTGCTGCTGTTAAGAAATCCCAGGCAGACGCTGAACTTGAAACTGGGATGCTACTCAGATGGTATTTTACTTAGTGCCAGTAGTTTCACGTTTAAAATACAAAAATTTTAATGCTGCTAAATTATACACAGCTCCTGGAAAATGCAATGAGGCGAGAGGAGTCCAACCTTCGAAAAAGTCAAATCGCTTGAATATATAGCATGAGGCCAAGGACATGCAGGTCATCTTTTTATAAAACTGACAATTTCTTAAAGTTGCTTTTTAAAAATTGCAGTAACACAAGATAGGAAGCAAGGCAATGATTAGGGTATTAAGAACAAAACTTCACAGATGTGCTTGCACACATATGCATGAAAAACCTGACAAGTGGGGAAGGCGGGGGAAAAAATAATTGGTGATGTCATCATGTCACCAACACCACACAATGGGATGGAGAAGCAAAAGTAGCTTTGGAAAAAAACAAAGACATTCCAGAAGATTCTTACAATTAGAAGTAATCTCTAAGGACAAACTGATTGAAAATGAACAATCAGGACTGAAAATTGTCATATCATCAATTGAATTAAGTTCCAGATGCTCCTACAGACCTTTTAAATGTAGTAATTTGATACCATGGCCCAATTCAGAAGGTTCAATATTTAATTTAAAAAACTTTCAAACTGATGAAGTGATGAGTCATTTCCAAAAGCAACCAGCTACTATAATAATTTAATGGATAGCAAGCATTTAAAATGCAGCAGTGTCAGAAAGCCAGTAGATAAATTTCACAGCCAATATTAATTCATCAAGACAACAATTTTACATAATTTATTGCAGAAGTGAGGGATCTCAGACTGCCACATAAAAAGATTTTTTACAATCCAATCCTTTCTCAGTTATGTAAAAAGCAGTAAAATTTTACTGCTGTTAGTTCAGAGGAGCACTAAATGCTTCGTCATAATTCTGATGCAGAAACCACAGACAATAGTCAATTTGCTTTATTCTCCTTAATTTTCCCTCTTTTGTTGATTGTCATCTATGCATTTGACAAAAAATAAAATCCTTTCATTCCTCCTTCCTCTCCGTCAACCTCCTCATCCTCCCCAATCACATCCACCTATATCCAGCCCAGTTTCACCACTTTCCCTATTTCACTTCTCTCTTTTTATGATCAGAACAGCAAGTACAGTGGAAACTGAAAAGCTAAACAATCAGAACTCCATTCTATTGCTGCTCCTCTAAAGAAGATAAAGACCCATGTGACTTTGATCAATCAAAATCTGACATTGACTCTGGAGATGAAGCTCCTTTCCACTGAAGGTCTAGAAGTGAAGAAAACACCTTTTTTGCAACCAATGTCCTATGACATACAACCATTCGGTTAAGCTTCTTGGAATCACTCATTGGTAGCTTATGCCAAAACAACATAAAAAATTTGATCCAACTGTAATACACTAGAAAATCTTAACTTTCAGCATCAATGAGTCCTAGAAGATCCCAACATCCTAGCTTAACGCTGAAGCAGAAAAAGCATGGCATAAATAGCTATGTCGAAAATACCAGCTGCTAACAACCACTTGCATTTGGGAGTGCAGTAAATGGCCACAACTGCTTTCATTACCAGTCCACTTCAGAAACACATCCATATTCCTCTTAACCAAGTCCACAAATTGCAATGGATTGTTTCTTACCAGCAGAGGCTGTGAGTAGAGTTCAAGCTGTGCTCTGTAAATTATGTCCTCCAATACCTCCTGGCCAAGATCCCACTGACCATTATATCTAAAAAGTAAAGAAAGATATTTATCTTTCATATCTTATTGACTCAATCTTGTCTTTCTTCTGCCTAAATCCAGCTCTTCACTTCTTTGCTTATGTAGGAAGTTCAACCACCATATGTACACCTTCAAGACTTTAAAAAGTATAGACAAAGCATTTTATTATAAATCTTGTTGGTATGACAAAAAATCTGTTCCCTGTCACCTCCAAGCAAGACAAAGTGCTGGCATAATCAGGACAAACAATAAAAAGAATAAGGTCAAGATGTAAAGTTAACACTATTTAGCAGAACTGAATTTCTATCAGAAATGGAGTTCTGCTACCTCAGAAGCCACTGACATTCAAGAGGCTGTGCAGGTGCACCCGCCCCGATAAAAACCATGGCTTCTCGCAGCTGGTCAAACAATGACCACTGTGCCCACCCTGCCAGGAGACCATGACCCTTCTCATGAACTTTCCCCCGGTGGTGGAAAGAGAAAGGCGGGACTCCTGTGTCAACAGGCAGGGTCCTAGCCAATGACCTGCCTCAGCTCAGAGAAATTTCTAGACTTCTGACCATAAATGATCACAGGTCAGATCCAACCGGGCTATAAAAGGGACCCCTCGCTGGAAACACACGGAGAGAGACAGTTCTCGGGAGCAGCAGGTCTGTGACTGGGGACTCTCTCCGTGGGATGAGATGCCTCCCACAAAAACTTCCCAGGATTGAGTGCCCTTACCCTTTCAGTGAGTGATGATCTATTCTGGATATCCTTGACTGAGCCCTTGCCCCATCTGGGGTGAGCGATCCTGTCTTCTGGGTGCCCTTGAGTGAGAGTTTCCCTGTTGTGAGCAAATGCGTGCACACCTTGGACCACCATGCTTGTGTGTTATGTAGTGATAGACATGTAACTTATTAAATGTTGCTGGAGTGTCATCCTAGTTACCCCCCCGCTTAATTTCATTAGTTTTGGTTGTTCAAAGTGTGTCTGAGTATATACAGCCACACAAACCGTGTAGTATTAGGTCCCAACTGACACCCTGACCTGTAAATGCGCTGTGTCTGCTGAAATGTTTGTAATGCAAGATTGCCATTCAACTCGACTGCTGTATTTTGATACTATTAAACTGATTTTTGAAACATACTTTTGGTCACTCTCACACTTCCACAACAGAGGTTTGCATTTCATCAGATTAGCTCGGCATCCGAGCTCATTATGCTTGTGAATAGAAGGTATCTGGTGGTAGTGGAAACTTGGGAAAGATGAAGCCAGAAGCCTAACTTTCTTCAGCGCCTATTACTGCCCCTTCATCACCTAATTCAACGCTGACAAAGATATTTTCAAATTATGGCTGAGAGAGCAAGTAATGGGAAATACACTAATAGAGTTATAAACTTGCATTAGAAGTTCAACTGTTTTTTCAATCATGAAACAACTAGCATATATCTTAATTCGTGTAAAACCAGACATTTTTCCTTAGACAAAAAAAACACCCACTTACATGGCGTAATAGACACCTGTGAGCAGCTGCACCATGAAATCAGGGTCTAACACCACTCTACCACAGTGTTCTTTCCAGTGTTTCTCATGCTGCCGCGGAAATCCACTAACACACAGCCTGAAAAAACACACCATTGTAATAAAATGTTAACCCCACAAAGACTACAAATGTCTTTACAGAGATTTTAGTTTATTTTCAAAATTTATTTTTCAAAATGTAAGTACATAACATAGAACATTCTTATGCTGCTCTCTCAACCATTAAAGCAGTTTTATAACAGTGCCTTGAGATGTCACTTGCTGATAATCCAGTGGTATTCCCATACAGCTATTAATTCCATTTGTTTTCTTCAAATCGTAACCAGCTTCTAACGAATGAGCATGGCCAGGTGTTCTCTACTGCCAGCCACCAAGCAGGAGACTCTCTCCAAAATTCAGTAACCAAAACCAACTTTCTTTAAAGGAAACATTTCAGTGGTATGGAAGAGAAATATGTCATCTCCCGTCTAACGTATGATGACAGCATGCAGCCACCTTCTACCTAAAGTTGGATAACACAGACACTGTATTCTCGAGAATTGCTCTCAGCTGCCTTCTAAAAAAAAAAAAAACAAAAAAAACCCCAAAAAAACTTCTGAGTCTTGAAAAAGGCCCTGCCTTCTCATATACTGCATAGCACTGAGTCCCCAGGAAAAAACAGAATAATTTATTCATAACTCTAATAACTGAATCTTCATCATGGAAGCAACACATGGCCACTAATACATAATAACTGCTGCACTGTTTCAAGAACAACAAGGAAATCCCTAACCTATGAAATGTTGTGTCTCATCTCTACCCAAAGAACGGATCTAATTTGCAAATACAGGAAAATTTCAACATACTTAGCAAATTTAGCATAGCCACAACTCAAGTGAAGATGATGGAAGCATACCAAGAATTAACCCATTCCCATCAGAAATCACGGGAAAGAAAACAGGCTATAATCTTAACTGCATGTATGTGTTACTACAGAACACATATTGTTGGAAGCTAGTCTGATCCTTCTTTGCTGCATAACTGACTTGCATGTAATACTTTTCTTTCATGGTAGTACTGTGCTGAAGCACAGAAGCTAGATCAAAAAACACTTAATGAGTTTGGGGGTAGCAAGAGAGAGTATTTATCTCATTTCAGACAAAAATACTGGTAAAAACAGGCATATGGGAATATCAGATATACTTCAGATTTTTCAGAACAAAGAGCAGGAATCTTTGCCAACCAGATGCTTCTAAGACTATTCAAGTAGAAGATTATATAAAGGGCCTGTATAAGAGTTTGAGAAATCACAGTAGTGTGCTCTCCATACAGTGGGATGTTATTATCAGGTGGAAAAAGAAAAGGGGGGGGGCAGAAACACATAACACACACTCAACCAAACCAACAGAAAACCTAAACAAACTACTAAAACCCAGAATATTTGCAAGCACTTCATATAAACCATCCTCAGAAGGAAGACATTAGTCTTTGGAAGCAGAGGAAACTGGTAGTATTCCTCACAGGATTTTTAGGCTGGCCATACTGAAAAATGTCTGAAAGATATGCAAATCCAAAAGATGCAAATGAATGAGTATCTTCAACTAATTTTCCCCAAAAATTGTTTGTTTGTTTTTTTCTTTCCAAATAACAGAAAGCTACATAACTAGAACAAAAGCCCATGCAGTAGTAAGATAATCCACGTGTTTTATCTATGTGCAAGCACAGCTTCAAATTTCCCGTTAAGTTGCAGGACTGACCAAGAGTAACATATTTTAAAGTTATTAAACACAACAAGTGAATTAATTCTTTTTTTGCTGGATGAATATTTAGAAGTCTAGATGCACCCTACAAGACCATTTCAAAGGCAAATGTCTCACCTGGAACCCATCCTACAAAGTGATTGGTAAGAAGAGGCAGGCATGTAGACAATAGCAGAATTGTAGCACAGCATAAGAAAGCTCAGCACCTCAAACCTGAAAAGAGACAAGAGCAAAACCTTGCATGGTTTTATAGAACTGGATAAGTCTGCAATGCATTCAAATTTATTTTATCAGTTTTCCAAGAGCTGGCTTTAGGCACAGGTAAAGCTGGCAGTCATTATAACAGGACAATTTTTCTCATCCTTGGTTCTACCTATCCACTCAGCTCCATTCCTCTTTTCTAGTGGAAAAAGCAGTCACAGCCTCGGAGCCAAAGCTGAATTTTGTTACACGTCCAGGAAAATTTGAGTTGACAGACATAAACCCAAAGATATTCCTGATGGACACAGAAATGACAGAGAAGTTACTCTCTTCTAAATTAACCAGTACAAGAACACACAAAGTTGGATCAAACAACAAAAATACTATACCTCAAGATTACCAGGACTGTTATCTAGATTTATTTCCAAGCACTTCATGTTGAGAAAGCACTGAACACATTATATATTTGGTCTTAATGTTTAAGGACTTGTTGTCTGCCTAGTGAAGCACCTCTAATACTAGGATACATCCACCTACCGGTTCTGTGCTGTGAAGGTTTCTCTTTGGGGATGAAGATCACTGTAAACTACCCTGATTAGATCATGCTGACACAGAGCTCCTTCGGTTAACGCCATGGATCCAATAGTAGAGGGCTAGAAGCAGTTGGTGGGAGGAGGGAAGGAGGGGGGAGAAAGCAAGCCATAAGTAAAAGGTCTCTAAAAGCATTAAAACTCCTAACCACCCAAGCCAAAAGACACACTTGTCTTGTGACCTGTAAAAATGAAGATTATTCCAGAATACAGTAAGTCTCAAAGCATTACATAATTTCATTATTATAAACATCTTCCACACTTACAAGCAACAGAGCAGGTGAGGGCAATTGTCAACTTTGATTCTTATACATCCATTTATAGCAAGTTTGTACTAATTGCATAGACTTTTTGTACAGCAACAGTAGAGAAAGAAAAACACGATTCCAAGTCCAAACTGTATTAAGGAGGAGTTAGAAGAAAGAAGACTACTTTTATATTAACACATAAGCGGCAAAAAAACACAGCTGCAACTACAAGACAGCTGACCTCCATTCAAAATGGGCAGTCAAAAGTCTTTTCAACATTTATATTCCTTTTCTTCTACTAATGCTACTGAATTTGATTACACTAATTGGAAGCTATTGACACTGAAAATTTACTGCTATAAGATACATCTAAAATGGCCTGTTGCATCAAATCGATCCAGTTTTCATTCCTCTGATAGATCCAATTCTAATTTACCATAGCAGCTCTCTTACCTCATGATATATTGAGGGTTTAGATAATGAAGGTATGGTGAAAGATAAAACTTTGTTGTTTCCATCTTTGTCAGCAATTTCCTGCATTAAAAAACAAAACCAAAACTCAAAAAGAAGTAAGGAGATAGAACTTGGAATAATTTTCAACTCTTAGAAGGCATTTAACAAATAAGAAGTTAGATGTCCTGATCTGGTAAGACTATTAACACCCTAAGATCTCTGTGCATTTGCAGAATATCAGCAAATTTACATAGACATTTAAAAAGAGGGAAAAAACTCTAACACAGACTGTTCTGTAGAATCAATAAACTGCAACACTTTAAAAAAACAGCATTGGCTCCTTGATCAATGTAACTTCATCAAAACCAAAAAAGAACAAAAACCTTTTCTAGCCCACCTTTACATTATAACACTTATTTATAAAAGAACTGCATAGTGGAGAAAGGCTAAAACTTTAAGCTCAAAAGATATAGACACCCGAGGCCTGATGAGTCACTTGCTGACAATGGGCAGCACTTCATATTAAACACATCACAGAGAAAAGGTGAAATCAAGGGGACTGGTAAGGTTTCTTCAGGCACTCTATCAGTAAGAAATACACAGAATCTTTTCTCATAAGTCTTTCAAACTGGTCAGATATTGTAGTTGCCTAAGCAAATCCAGCAGTTTTTCAAGCAAATATACTAAGAGCAATTACATAAGACTATACCAAAAAGGAGTCTAAACTCATGCCTTTTTACTTTGTACACCAAACTTCTAATCAATGAGCTGTAGTCATTGCAGTTTATGTGAAAACTTAGTCCAAGGTAGCACAGTACTTATAGTAGGCTTTAGCGATCACAACGAGAGGACAGTTGATAGAATTTAGCAGAATGCAAAACATTTATCCTTGTCATTCGCTATCTAAATATTGAGAAAAGAACTCTTTCAGTCTCAGTATACATGCAGAAATATATCAACAACTTAACCACAGGAAAAAAAAAAATAGTGGGAGGCACTGTCCATTTTGAGGCCTCTTTCCTCATGAATCTGGAGAGAATGAAGAAATTACTGTCCTTAAAAATATGAATCACCAACATGACTTTCAAAGGAACTGCAAAAGGACCTTTCTGAGTAGAGTCAACAAAGATACACATGCTACTTCAACCCAGCAAACAGTACCAAAAATCAGCAAGCAGTTAACTTTTTTCTATCTGAATAAATCTAAAATAACTGGATCTTCCAGTTGTTAGAACGGATCTACAGACACATAACACAAATACTAGACTTTTTTAAGAATCATAGTTTGACTGTTCTGTGTCTTATCGTGTAGAAACATGATACACAATTTAAAGGAGGGGTTTACTATGATAGTAGAGAAAAGGGCAATGTTTCAGTATAATACGTTTTGAAGTCAAATAACACAGAAATTCCCATAAGAGAATGCCTATCTTGGCAGTATTGCTAAATTTATCAAACACAGAATCACAGAATGTTAGGGGTTGGAAGAGACCTCTGTGGGTCTGCAGGGTCACCTAGAGCAGGCTGCACAGGGCCTTGTCCAGACACGTCTTGAATATCTCCAGAGAAGGAGAATCCACAACCTCTCTGTGCAGCCTCTTATCCACACCCTCTCTGTGCAGCCTCTTCCAGTGCTTCGTCACCCTCAGGGTAAAGAAGTTCTTCCTCATGTTCAGATGGAACTTCCTGTACTTCAGTTTGTGCCCATTGCCCCTTGTCCTGTCACTGGGCACCACTGAAAAGAGCCTGGCCCTATCCTCTTGCCACCTACCCTTAAGAAATTTATAAGCATTTATAAGGTCCCTCTCAGCCTTCTCTTCTTCAGGCTAAACAAGCCCAGCTCCCTCAGCCTTTCCGTACAGGAGAAATGCTCCAGTCCCCTCATCATCCTCGTAGCCCTCCAGTGGACTCTCTCCAGTAGCTCCTCATCCTTCTTGAACAGAGGAGCCCAGAACTGGACACTGTACTCCAGATGGGGCCTCACTAGGGCAGAGTAGAGGGGAAGGAGAACCTCCCTTGACCTGCTGGCCACACTCTTCTTAATGCACCCCAGGAGACCATTGGCCTTCTTGGCAACAAGGGCACACTGCTGGCTCATGGTCAACTTGTCATCCACCAGGATACTCAGGTCCCTCTCCACAGAGCTGCTCTCCAGCAGTTCTGCCCCGAGCCTGTACTGGTGCATGGGGTTGTTTCTCCCCCGGTGCAGGACCCTGTACTTGCCCTTGTTGAACTTCATCAGGTTCCTCTGCACCCAACTCTCCAGCCTGTCCAGGTACAGCCTCCTAACATTACAAGAGCAAATATTTCCAGACTAAGGTAAGGATATAAAGAACTACTTTTACATCCAAAAGCCAAACTTAATCCTCTGCAGTCACTTTTACTATTAATATATTATTATATGTATGTACACTTAACCACAGATACATAGAATATATATATTTAACCACAGTTAAGTATTCTTAACTGTGGTTCCACTCAAGACAACTATCTGCCTCAAATGTACACATGTGTGTGTCTAAGTGCTAGCACACAGAATGGTTTCACCTTCACATTACCCTTAAAAAGACATACTCAGAGTAAGCAGGGGGGCAGAAGGAAATGATACATGAAGAGTGACAAGGCATATTGGCCTGAAATTCATCTCCATAGAAAGTTGTATTTTTCAACATTAAGGAGGGCTACTTAATTTCCTTACAAACACAAGCATATTACAGTTCAAGAAAGCCCATGAGATTATCTTTTTTCGTTAAAATGTTTATCCCAAAAAGAGTACTATAAAAAAATGTTTTTGCAAACACGTTTGTACTAAACCTTCATTACATTACGCTTTTCCTGAGATTAAATATGCTTTCATGTAAGCGTATTATAATTTTAAATATGTTGTTCCAAAACTTTATTTTATTCCTAGTGGTCAGTGATGCAAAACCTCAGATCAAAGCTTTTCTCAGCCATTCCCACTTATCTCACTTACCAAGTTGTAAATGCCAAGCAGCAGTGCTTCAATGCAACCATTACTCTGCCTATCCCTGCTGGCAGTAAGATGCAGATACACCCAGATCAGCTCTGGCAAAAATTGCAGTGTGAATCTCTTGAGCCGAACTTCAGAACTACGATAAAGTTCAAAGAGCTGGTGGCAAACAGGCTCCAGGAGCTGTGGAAAGGCAAAAAGGCTAATGAATTACTGTCAGGCTTCTCTAATAAGAGAGAATGAAATAGCAAATATAGGAGCTACATCATATAGCCACCACAGCCAGTAAAGATTACACTCTTTGATGGCAAGTAAGTGAATGAATCAAAATGATATATGCATTCCTTTTAAGGACATCTGTAAGGACAGACCTGAGCAGCACTGCTATGCAGTATTGGCAAATGTGGCCTTATTACACTACCACCTTGTGCTTTGAGAACATTATTCTCTAGGGCTGTCAGTATGAGATTTATTTTGTATATAAGTACTAATTTAGGCATGTGGCAGACACGTGGCTTGAACTATGTGCACCATAAAACTTTAATGGTGCAGTTGTAAGGTTTATAAAAATACAAAGGTTAAAGACTAGCTGCTAGTGACAGCTGTTAATGACAAGTCTATTGACACAAATACAAATTAATTTCTTACCTAGGGCTTTTTAGCCTTAAACCCAACAAGTGTGCATTTGTTCATTATAATGCAAACTGATTTTTCCATCTTTAGTTGCCCTTCAGGTTTCAATACAAGAATCAAAAAAAGTCCTTATCAAGTCAGTGTGATATAAGCACAAGAAAAACCCTGCCATTTTAAGAGTATACAATGCCAAACCAAAAGTTATGATGCATCCACAGAATTACTAATGAACAGGAAAAAAAAGAAAAAGAACCACGTCAAACTGTCTCACCCTTTCCCATGACTAATCATGTTTTTAATATCAAAGTCAAAAACTACAAAAAAAAATTTCCAAGAGGAATTTTAGTAAAGTCTGTGACCAGTATCTAGTATTACACTATAAGTAATAGGACGATCTGTTGTAAGGAAAATACTCATTCAATATCTAAAAAGACAGAGGCATCCATGTAACCTAAAGCATCTATATTCATGTAGAAGAGTTACAGAGTCAGAAAACAGAGGACAGAATCTCAAAAAAGTCTTCTTTCTAACCATACATGCCTTATGCAGCTCTCACATACATACATGATAGTATTAAGCATTAAATTATACATATTTTTTAGAGCAATAAAAACCCTACATTTGACCAACACAACAGCAGCTGTACTGGTGAGACAAAAAGGCAGAAATAGGAAACACCCAGTGCAGAGCAGAAGATCAGATAAGGCATATACGACTCCTCTTTCAGTACACACTTTCACTCCCAGGCATACACAGCTTAGGACTTTCAGAGCATTAGCAATATGTTTCATAGACTTTGACGCATTCTTCTTTCATTAATTTGTCTATTCATAAAAATCTTAGTACCCAGAATTTCCTCTAGAATTCACTGTCACTCTTTTGCTATGCTGTATGAAGATACACTACTGTGATTTGTTGTGAACCATGCATACTCTTAAAACACTTTGAAGAGGTCCCTTGCTATTAGCAGAGGGACAGACATCTCTACCAGGTATTAGTTTGAATGTTTGGTAAGTGTGCAATGCCATAAATCTGTATGACTGTACAACTTCCCATATACATATTTATACTTTGATATTTTACTCTAGTATATTGCAAACACAAAACATGAGTTTGACAGAATTTTCTATCAAGACAGCTGCCTTAAGAGAGTATCACCCAAGAAAGGGTAAATACAGTTTCATTTCTAACACACAGTATTCTGGTCAATGAAACATACCATTTCTAAACCACTGATTACATAAGCCATAACATGACAGCTACATAAAATTTCGCTATCATACAAATCTCTTCTTATAAAAGGCTCTGGTATAAGTACCTTGTGTAACAAGGCTTCTGATTGACAGCCTAGTTACTCCAAGCTAAAAACCTGATTCTACAGCAGAAGTAAAGACAGACTCCACAAGAGAGGGAGGGAAGAAAGCTGACACTGATAATGTTGATACGAACTGAGAAGACCAGTAATTTGGAGCACACAGATTTTTACAAGCCATATATGTAAAATACCTCACCACTTCATTTTTGTTTTGAGATCTAATTGAAATTAGAAGACCATAAAGCTTCTACTGCAATTATTTCAATAAAACAATGCTAGGGCTTTCTCTATCAATTTGAGCATATATTATCTAGTATATTTATTCCAGTATTTCATACATGTATAGCACCTTTTGCTTGAAAGATGCATGAGTATATCCTTTCTTAATTAATATTTAGTAGAAACACCTATCTAAAAGTGACACTAATTATTAAAACCATCTGTTACAGTAAATGTTCAAATCCTCAGAGACAGAACTGTATCCTTGTTTTATGAAAGGCTCATTTGAACATCTGAAATGTACTAAAAAAAGTAATTAATAAATAATTCAGAGATCACAATAAATTTATAGGTTTTCTTGAAAATATGAGCAAGAAGCTAGCATAAAGAAGGAAAATAAGAGATCTCCGGAAACCATAAATACAAATATATCTGCAATGAGATAACAGGTGCAAGAAAAGCTAAATAAATATTATCAGAAACCAGATACAGCAGCATTGCTATAAATAGTACTTCCATTAGATGAGAGATGACAGCAGCCTGAAGCTGTTTCCTGTTTGAAATGAGCCACTCTAATCCATGTCCCATTAAAAACAGTGGAAAAGAATAATTGACTAAAGTTAGATGAAACTCAACCAGAGCAGTTACTGAGTTTATTCCACTTCCTTTCAAATGCAAAATTCTATAAAATTAGTCTTTTAAGTGAAAGCATGCTCCCTAGAATGATACAAGCAATATCCAGTCACTGGTGCTGCAAGGGTGTAAACACTCCTAATTTCTAGTAGTTGTCATACTACTTTTGCAAAAGGTTTAATAACTGCAAATTATGTAGGTGAAAAACCTGAACGTTGTTTGCAGCAACTACTATCACGTTTTTGGTGTGTTTACAGTTCTCAGTCTACAAGAAAAAGCTGCCATCACAAAGATGCTATAACACAAACTTTTTAAAAGGCACGAACACCCAAGTTTTTCCTATCAAAGCATAGTACGATCATCTGCCTCCTGGAAATACAAAACTTGACAGTGTAAGAAAGAACAAATATTTTCTTTGCATCTTAGTTTTCTGGCTTTTCAGAGAACCCACCTCTTCCAATTAATTCTCTGAATTTAAATATTGAGAAGACACTGGATAAACAGAGGAAATGAATCTTTTGTCACAAGTAGTAGGTGTACATATGAACTGCCACGCACTTTAATTCCAAAGATTTTTTCAGTCCAGAGTCAAAGGGAATTTAGCAGCACAGCAGTCAGCCAAAAAATCCAAAGTAAAAATTCTCTTAGAACTCTATTTTTTTTTCTGACAGACTAAAAGCCTACATTAAAAGAGCTTTCCTCTTACCATAAACAGCAAACAAAGACTGGAAATGCTTGCCTTATTGAAGAATTCAACCACAGCAGAAAATAGCGTGCTCATTTTAACCATAATATAATGGGTCAAATTAGTTATTATTTGAAGAGTACTGGGTCTGGGAAATGTTTGTCATTGCAAAGGTGATTATTTTGTTTCAAGGCTGAGCTTTCCAAGTTAAACCCACACAGGCCCACATGAATATTCAGTGTTCAAATTTCAGTACTGCATTAACTTAAAATCCATAGAGCACTTATGTCTACAACCATAAACCAACTCCAAAAATTATAAAATTAAAAAGACAGTACTTCAAAAGCACTTTACTTCAGAATTCAAATTTACGCAAAAATCAATATATTATTCAGTTAAATAAGCTGTTGATGAGGAAGATCACTCTCATTATGTAACTTTCTGTTCTGGTCATTATCTTCTCCATATTAAAAAAAATCATGGAATTTCCTAGATATAAACAGTAACAATTGTATTTAACTTGAAAGCATGTTTTCCTTTCATTTGATAGCTCTCAAATTGGTAGACAACCCTTAAAAAAAAAA